TATTATTATTATTATTATTATTATTATTATTATTATTATTATTATTATTATTATTATTATTATTATTATTATTATTATTATTATTATTATTATTATTATTATTATTATTATTATTATTATTATTATTATTATTATTATTATTATTATTATTATTATTATTATTATTATTATTATTATTATTATTATTATTATTATTATTATTATTATTATTATTATTATTATTATTATTATTATTATTATTATTATTATTATTATTATTATTATTATTATTATTATTATTATTATTATTATTATTATTATTATTATTATTATTATTATTATTATTATTATTATTATTATTATTATTATTATTATTATTATTATTATTATTATTATTATTATTATTATTATTATTATTATTATTATTATTATTATTATTATTATTATTATTATTATTATTATTATTATTATTATTATTATTATTATTATTATTATTATTATTATTATTATTATTATTATTATTATTATTATTATTATTATTATTATTATTATTATTATTATTATTATTATTATTATTATTATTATTATTATTATTATTATTATTATTATTATTATTATTATTATTATTATTATTATTATTATTATTATTATTATTATTATTATTATTATTATTATTATTATTATTATTATTATTATTATTATTATTATTATTATTATTATTATTATTATTATTATTATTATTATTATTATTATTATTATTATTATTATTATTATTATTATTATTATTATTATTATTATTATTATTATTATTATTATTATTATTATTATTATTATTATTATTATTATTATTATTATTATTATTATTATTATTATTATTATTATTATTATTATTATTATTATTATTATTATTATTATTATTATTATTATTATTATTATTATTATTATTATTATTATTATTATTATTATTATTATTATTATTATTATTATTATTATTATTATTATTATTATTATTATTATTATTATTATTATTATTATTATTATTATTATTATTATTATTATTATTATTATTATTATTATTATTATTATTATTATTATTATTATTATTATTATTATTATTATTATTATTATTATTATTATTATTATTATTATTATTATTATTATTATTATTATTATTATTATTATTATTATTATTATTATTATTATTATTATTATTATTATTATTATTATTATTATTATTATTATTATTATTATTATTATTATTATTATTATTATTATTATTATTATTATTATTATTATTATTATTATTATTATTATTATTATTATTATTATTATTATTATTATTATTATTATTATTATTATTATTATTATTATTATTATTATTATTATTATTATTATTATTATTATTATTATTATTATTATTATTACCACAGTAACATAAATTATGGCGTTTTACTTTGGGGAAATTCTACCAATGCGCATAAGGTTTTCGTGCTCCAAAAGACAGCAGTACGACTGATAGATGGCGCCCCCTTTAATAAACCATGCCAAGAAATTTTTAAAAGACTTGGAATATTGCCACTACCATCGATGTACATACTGGAAACTCTCATTGAAACACACGAAAATAGACATCATTTAATAAAACATTCGGATGTGCATAATTATAGGACCAGATCCTGTCAAGACATAATCGTTAGGAAATCTAGGATACAAATAACTAAAAATAATTCTTTAGATGTCTCTTTGTATAATTCATTAAGAAAACATTTTAGCCTTGTACGAATTGATTTAATGTCGAAAACAACTTTTAAAAACTTTGCAAAAACTTTTTTACTAACTTACTGTTTTTATAATACTGATGAATATTTTTTAATGTTAAACAAATAGTAGGTATTTTATTTTGTTTTATTTGTGTTTTTAAAAAAAAAAATGTTAAGTGTTTTTAATAATCGTGATTTTTATAAATTTGTGACCAATGTATTTTTTTATAAATTTGTGACCTTTGCATTTTTTATAAATTTGTAATATTTGTATTTTTTATATTTATTGTTTCTTGTAAAACATTATATAATTATGTAATAGGACTTCAAACGTACCATTGTATGTAAACGTTGTCAATAAACTATCTATCTATCTATCTATCTATTATTATTATTATTATTATTATTATTATTATTATTATTATTATTATTATTATTATTATTATTATTATTATTATTATTATTATTATTATTATTATTATTATTATTATTATTATTATTATTATTATTATTATTATTATTATTATTATTATTATTATTATTATTATTATTATTATTATTATTATTATTATTATTATTATTATTATTATTATTATTATTATTATTATTATTATTATTATTATTATTATTATTATTATTATTATTATTATTATTATTATTATTATTATTATTATTATTATTATTATTATTATTATTATTATTATTATTATTATTATTATTATTATTATTATTATTATTATTATTATTATTATTATTATTATTATTATTATTATTATTATTATTATTATTATTATTATTATTATTATTATTATTATTATTATTATTATTATTATTATTATTATTATTATTATTATTATTATTATTATTATTATTATTATTATTATTATTATTATTATTATTATTATTATTATTATTATTATTATTATTATTATTATTATTATTATTATTATTATTATTATTATTATTATTATTATTATTATTATTATTATTATTATTATTATTATTATTATTATTATTATTATTATTATTATTATTATTATTATTATTATTATTATTATTATTATTATTATTATTATTATTATTATTATTATTATTATTATTATTATTATTATTATTATTATTATTATTATTATTATTATTATTATTATTATTATTATTATTATTATTATTATTATTATTATTATTATTATTATTATTATTATTATTATTATTATTATTATTATTATTATTATTATTATTATTATTATTATTATTATTATTATTATTATTATTATTATTATTATTATTATTATTATTATTATTATTATTATTATTATTATTATTATTATTATTATTATTATTATTATTATTATTATTATTATTATTATTATTATTATTATTATTATTATTATTATTATTATTATTATTATTATTATTATTATTATTATTATTATTATTATTATTATTATTATTATTATTATTATTATTATTATTATTATTATTATTATTATTATTATTATTATTATTATTATTATTATTATTATTATTATTATTATTATTATTATTATTATTATTATTATTATTATTATTATTATTATTATTATTATTATTATTATTATTATTATTATTATTATTATTATTATTATTATTATTATTATTATTATTATTATTATTATTATTATTATTATTATTATTATTATTATTATTATTATTATTATTATTATTATTATTATTATTATTATTATTATTATTATTATTATTATTATTATTATTATTATTATTATTATTATTATTATTATTATTATTATTATTATTATTATTATTATTATTATTATTATTATTATTATTATTATTATTATTATTATTATTATTATTATTATTATTATTATTATTATTATTATTATTATTATTATTATTATTATTATTATTATTATTATTATTATTATTATTATTATTATTATTATTATTATTATTATTATTATTATTATTATTATTATTATTATTATTATTATTATTATTATTATTATTATTATTATTATTATTATTATTATTATTATTATTATTATTATTATTATTATTATTATTATTATTATTATTATTATTATTATTATTATTATTATTATTATTATTATTATTATTATTATTATTATTATTATTATTATTATTATTATTATTATTATTATTATTATTATTATTATTATTATTATTATTATTATTATTATTATTATTATTATTATTATTATTATTATTATTATTATTATTATTATTATTATTATTATTATTATTATTATTATTATTATTATTATTATTATTATTATTATTATTATTATTATTATTATTATTATTATTATTATTATTATTATTATTATTATTATTATTATTATTATTATTATTATTATTATTATTATTATTATTATTATTATTATTATTATTATTATTATTATTATTATTATTATTATTATTATTATTATTATTATTATTATTATTATTATTATTATTATTATTATTATTATTATTATTATTATTATTATTATTATTATTATTATTATTATTATTATTATTATTATTATTATTATTATTATTATTATTATTATTATTATTATTATTATTATTATTATTATTATTATTATTATTATTATTATTATTATTATTATTATTATTATTATTATTATTATTATTATTATTATTATTATTATTATTATTATTATTATTATTATTATTATTATTATTATTATTATTATTATTATTATTATTATTATTATTATTATTATTATTATTATTATTATTATTATTATTATTATTATTATTATTATTATTATTATTATTATTATTATTATTATTATTATTATTATTATTATTATTATTATTATTATTATTATTATTATTATTATTATTATTATTATTATTATTATTATTATTATTATTATTATTATTATTATTATTATTATTATTATTATTATTATTATTATTATTATTATTATTATTATTATTATTATTATTATTATGTAGTTTTATTTGTAAATATCATGCACATACGGCCGGATGTAATTCTTTGGCATATTTCGTGACTAAAAATTCATATAAATATTGCATGGTCCGCAAACCTTCGTTAACGAACTACAGAGTGTTAAAATTTTAAGATTTTTTATAGCTCCTACAGTTTTTAAAACATTTAGCTTAAATTTGGAATCTAGGTTAGGTTGTAGGACTTACATTACTGGGTATTGTAGAACTATAATTACACTTCTGAGGAATATTAAAAAATATTGATTATATTTATAATCATAAAATTTGAAAAAGCGGTCGTCTGTCTTCTTGTTCTGTCTTCTTGTTCTGTCTTCTTGTTCTGTCTTCTTGTTCTGTCTTCTTGTTCTGTCTTCTTGTTCTGTCTTCTTGTTCTGTCTTCTTGTTCTGTCTTCTTGTTCTGTCTTCTTGTTCTGTCTTCTTGTTCTGTCTTCTTGTTCTGTCTTCTTGTTCTGTCTTCTTGTTCTGTCTTCTTGTTCTGTCTTCTTGTTCTGTCTTCTTGTTCTGTCTTCTTGTTCTGTCTTCTTGTTCTGTCTTTTTGTTCTGTCTTCTTGTTCTGTCTTCTTGTTCTGTCTTCTTGTTCTGTCTTCTTGTTCTGTATTCTTGTTCTGTATTCTTGTTCTGTCTTCTTGTTCTGTCTTCTTGTTCTGTCTTCTTGTTCTGTCTTCTTGTTCTGTCTTCTTGTTCTGTCTTCTTGTTCTGTCTTCTTGTTCTTACTTATTGTTCTGTCTTGTTAATAGTTTTATTTATCTCTGATGTTCCCTTTTTCTCTCCCGTCTCGCTATTAACGGACGTCAAGGCTCGACGGATCAGGATGCACCCAATGACATATATAGATTAATAGACTGCTCATCCATATATAAACAAGTCGACGAAAAGCGGGTCATATTGCTTGGCTTGCCGAGTGCTCACCAGGCAGAATCGGTCTGGCCCAAATGAGTTTAAAACACATATTTCATCAAAGTAGGAATTGAATTAAAAAAAAAATATCTGTGTATTTATTTCAAGACAGGAGCTTGCGTTAGGTATTTTAAAAAAGGATTTTGAGTCGTAACGTCTAGTTTCCCAATTTTCAAAACATTTTAAGAGATCTAACTAATTTTGAACATAGATATAAACAATTTTACACTCATGTGTATACAGTGCGTCCATAAAGTAACGCATAAATTCATTATTGGCTAGATGAACAATAAAATTAGGAATTCCCAAAACAGGTCGATTTTTGATTTCAATTTACTATTGTTTCAAATCATAATCTAATATACAGGGTGAACCACTTTCGTGTAATGACGTCATCACCATTTTTTTCAAATGGAACCCCCCTTTTTTTTCAATTTCCAAATTGCCTTTGCTGAGCTGATTCCAAAAATGTATAATATGTTGCTTCAAATTGGTACAGGGTGGGCAAAAATGCAAAAAAAAATATGAAAATTGTTTATGGAAAGTAATACGTTACTGAATGTAATAAACAAACTGGTATGTAAAATAAAAAAAACTGGTAAAAGATAATGCCAAACAAAAAGATTTTTATAGTCCAGGGGCTTGGATCACTAATAAAAGCTGTAAGATACAATTATTAAGAATAATGCTGTATGTTCTTGATAGTTTATCAAAGTAGTTGTAATAACAATACGTAATTTCATTTAATGTGTTTATTACGTTTATTCGTTATTTTCATTACTTTGTAAGTAAATTTTTGCATTTTTGCCCACCCTGTACCAATTTGAAGCAACATATTATACATTTTTGGAATCAGCTCAGCAAAGGCAATTTGGAAATTGAAAAAAAAGGGGGGGTTCCATTTGAAAAAAATGGTGATGACGTCATTACACCAAAGTGGTTCACCCTGTATATTAGATTATGATTTGAAACAATAGTAAATTGAAATCAAAAATCGACCTGTTTTGGGAATTCCTAATTTTATTGTTCATTTAGCCAATAATGAATTTATGCGTTACTTTATGGACGCACTGTATAACTAACTTTAGACCATGACTACTGTATAGTGGCACTATTCGGACACTTGATTATTCTTTTAAAATTTATTTCGCATTATAAAAGCAGATATTATGCAAAAATTGAATGAACTTTTTAAAGATTTAAAGTTAGTAGCTTTTTCACATTCTCAAGTTTGTCCCTTTAGACAATTAAGGATTATTTTGGCGGTGAATGTGAATGATTTGATGAATAATAATAAAATTCCACCAGTGGAAATCTGATCAACATCATAGTAAAATGGACTAGGTACAAGGTAATCTTAGTTGACGTCAAGATCCGTGTACCTTAGCATCGGTAAGAGGGAAATAAAGATTCTGACTTACAATCACAAAAAGAACGTACAACTAAGCTTAGTCGATGTAAGTTAGCTCAGATTAGTGGTAAAAAGAAAGCGACTATTAATAAAAAGAAAAGTAATCCAGCTAAAACAAAAATTATGGCTACTGTCTTTAATAATGATATGTTGCCAGTACTAGTAGAATGTTAAGTGTTGAGTTATCTTCTTCAGGCAATGGATGGATGTACGTATGCATAATTTAAAATGTTTGGTTAATTATTATTATTATGTTTAATGTTTTTGCAGTTAATGAACATATATCTACTACTGAAGCAGATAATGAAGATTTGTGTGCTGCTGAATAGCTTTGCTTAATTTACAAAACTTTGTTTTAAAGCAGAAAATTGGGATCGATTGTTCAACACAAGTGAAGAGTGGTGATTTAGTTGATCCGTTTTCAAACAGAATTGTTAGTGCTAAAGAACTATCTACTTTAATAGGATTACAATCCTTCCAGTTATTAGCCACCATTGTGGAATTAGTAGCAGAGTTGTTTCTAAAGAATAGGAAAAAGGAGGAGATCAGTTATGTCTGTAAAGGATCAAGTTATATTTACTTTTATGAAGTTGAAAACTTATATGCAAGATATAATGTCTTATTCATTTTATTTGGAGTGAATGAAACTTTTTATCGTTAAATTTTTTAACAGTTTTTAATAAAACTGGTAGAAGTTCTTAGTATGGTATAATTCGGCCTTCAAAACAAGAAATATTAAATAATGTGCCTCTATGTAAGTAAGAGTACTACTACTTGATTGTACCGAAATCCCAATACAGCAAGCCAAATGTCTTTGTTGTAGGCTAAAAAATTACTCTGACTACAAAAACAGGCATACTATTAAAATATTGACTGGAGTGTCACCTACTGGTCTCATTACTTACAAAAGAGAAGCATATGGTGGTAAACTTCAGAAATAGACATTTTTTAACAAAGTTCAATACTTGAAGTGTGTGAATCATTTCTCGATAGTAAAATGTTTAACAAAGGTTTTCTTATTGGAAACATAACAGAAGCTGAAGGTATACAAATTATACAGCCTCCTTTCCTCAATAAAAAAATCAATTCAGCCATCAAGAGGCTTTACTTAATGCCAAAATTGCCAGAGCTAGAATTCACATAGAAAGAACCTATCAAAGAATAAAAGTGTTTGTCTCTCTGTATTGGTACTTATGTCCGTTTTTCTTCTATTTATATTGAGTTTTTATTATACGATACTTCTCTGTATCTAACTAACTTTTAAAATATACTTGTAAAGCTCAGATAGCTCTAACTCGGGCCTTTGAATATAATAATATTTATGTAATTGTATTTACAATAAATACTTTATTATTATTAATATTATTATTATAATTAATTATAATTCGTAAAATTATTATAAACGTATTTACCTTGTACCTACTTGTATTGATACTTGCGTGAAAAATGAAATGTTACTTTTTATATTTCTGTAGCTGGTCTTACAAACCTTTATAGAGCAATTCACCGTTTAAATTTAAAAACAAAACAAGTTTTGATACTCAAATAATTAAAAAACTTAAAACAGAACATAAGTATAATTAAAACTAAATAAAATAAACAATTCAACAAAATGTCCGACTGAGTAATGACAATGAGAACAAAATCTCAACTAGACTAAACTTTCTTTAAAACCGGTCCTGTGAAAGGTTTGTTTACCAGTGAGCACTCAAAATTGAGACAAAACACAAACATTGCATGCACTAGACAAAGAGAAAACATCTCCCAGTTCGACCCACTTTTCATCGTTTTATTTACGTATGGATAAGCAGTCTATTTAAACTATATATGTCATTGGATGCACCTCAAAGGACATCGACTATGATATACCCTCTGAAAGCTTACCATAATTATGACATCAGTTTCGACATTGACACTTGAATAACCGAAAATAAAATCGATCTAAAACTCTTAAACTGAAATGACATTAAGTCAAAACTAAAGGTAAGATTATGTAGGGATCACAATGTCGCCACATATAACCTTCCTGTTCAAAAAATTATTAAATCCATATAAAATAAAAAAATATAAATCTAACCATAAGTTATTGGGTCTATTACAAAAGAAACCTTTTTAACTGGTTTCTAAACAACACTATGAACAATATATTGTTCCGCTCTTTAATATTATTAACATTTTCTTGTAATTTAATAAAAAATGAATCACTTTCAAAAGTTTCACTATTATGCTTAAAATGTTTAGTTTCATTTTTACTAACTACTAGTACGTCGTCTAAGTACACAAAAATAAAATCTAAACCTCTAGTAAGTGACTTCGGTAATAAATCTCTGAAATGTATTGTTAGAACAATATCTAATATAAATATATTGTTACGCAGGTTTTTGGTATCACAATTTACTTCAGTTCAACTTTTACAATAATTCAATCCAACTTTAACAATAACTATCCAACTGATAACATTGACGTATAACGTATATCATAAAACTCTAACGTCAGGTCGTCGACTTATATAGTTTGCCTCAACCTTATAGAACCTTCTCGAACAATCCGGATTTTTCTTTGACAAGAAATTACATTTCAAAACATTTTTGGACTATTCTATCTTCTTCATTTACTCGTACTTATTTATGACGACCGCAGCACGCTGCAGGGTGCTACGTAACGTTGCTCCCTCCTCACTAGTTTTTCGTCCCGAATAAATTTATTACTGGGACCTGGTCGGAGCCAATGGGGAGATTCTGAACCACTTTTCAATGTGAACTACCTTGGGTTTACTTCCCGCTACCAACTGAATGCAGTAGATCATGAGCCCAATTTCTGAAACTGTTCGCTGAACGTCGCATTCGGTTAGCAACGCATGGTCGCCACCGCATAGTCGCCACCACATGCGACGTAAAATTTGTATTCTTGACTACCCTTCATAAGAGTAGTTTCGTGTGGCATGGTGTAGCGAAGAGTCTTTGATTATTACAGCAGTTCAATCGTTTTCAACCAATCAACTTTCAGAACATTATAGCAAATTTTTTTTTAAAAAATTAACCTGTGTGAGTAACAAATTAGTAGTTTCTATCATTATTAAAATAAATTTGAGTATGAACAGAAAACTTTAAAATTAGCAAACTATTTTTATAAACTGTTTATCTGGTATTGTTCGTTGCAAATTATAAGAAATTGAATTCTCAAATCACACTATAGACAGGGTCGGAATGAGAAATGTGTGTAATGAAAATTAACAAAAATGTTTTTTTTACATTATTACGTGAGAAAGGAATATCCAGCGTTGCTGTAAATAGGAGCAAATAATTTTAGACAATTTTACAAGTACCAAAAGAGACT